CGCGCCGCGCTCTACTGGCGATCGAGCCGGACTGGCGTGCTCACCGCGGCTGGGCTGGCCTGCTCACCGCGGCTGGGTTGACCTGCTCATCTCCTGCGCCACCGCTGCCGTGTTCGCGGCTCACCGGGCTGTGCATCTGTTCTCGGGTTGATGATGCTCCCTGAGATCACAACAGGTGGCGTCGTCTGCCCCTTTCGCGCGATGCAAGGTCACCTTCCGCTGATTCAACAGTCAACGGGATGTCCGCAGGGGTACGGCAGGTAGAAGGCGTCTCATCTCGCCTGCTTAGAATTGAATGAATCGATGCTTTTGCCTTCCGGTGGCGCAACAAAGTTCGCGTCATGGCAGCAACCGGTCCGATTGTGTTCGTCATCGCAAACCCGAGGGCTTTAACTCATTCGGTTTCGCCCGCGGCTGGGTCATTCTTCCATCTCACGAGATTTATTTGGCAATAACATTCAGGATATTTTTCCACATGATCCCACTTGTCTTCCACGTTTTTTTGGACTAGTTGCTTACGAATACATTACCGGGGGACAGCTATGATCCCATTGCTCGTAATTCGTCCTGATCTTTGGTCATTGTGCCGCCAGCAGCGGCAACATGAAAACATACCTTGCTGAGGTATGGTACATACCAAGGTACCCAACATACCTTGAAAACGTTTTTGAAGTGGTGGCAAGCCCCAGCCGCCGACCGTGCAACCTTGGTTCCGACTGCAATTACGGATGGGCTGTTGGCTTAGCCGGTCGTTAAGTTCGTATTATGAAGCACCAGTCTTAAATCAAATGTCATGTGTCGCAGTGACGTCGGGTGTATTAGCTTGGCAGTTTTGTCGCGTCGTGCCAATTAGATAATGAGTGTGGTGTGTGTGCTTGCCGTGCCGGCCTCTGTTATGACATCCCTCTCATGCAACAACCACTTGTGGTGAGAAGCCATTATTTCCCGAAATGAGGCGGAAAATGTGACGGTAAATATTGTTGCATGGCATGATTAGTGGGCGTACTTGCGACCTGACCGCTGCGCGGGACCGGTTTTGGAGACTCTGGGGAGGTTCGGGTCCCTGTACTAAGTTTCCGTAAGACTCCCCACTCCTCGCGACGAGGATCGGACCCGGGAACGACAGTCTCCTAGCTGAGTCTGTCGCCATGACGTTGTATCTGATTATTGTTATTTGGGTTTCGAGACGCGTCGACAGCAGGGGTCATTTTGCGCCGATGTTGTGTATGAATATGACACTGATCGACCTTGCAATTCCATTTCATCAAGTGTGGTGCCTACATTCCGACGCCGAAGAGTGTTGCCATGGGAAAGCCGTCTGGCCATCGTGATTGATGTTGGCTGGAGACGGCCCTGTGAGCGCGCCTCTGGAGGGAGCGCTCCGGCCTGTGTTTCACCCGTGCCCTCCTCTGTCCGTCCTCAGCGGCTGGAGGCCGGCGAGCGGGCGTCGCTGGAGGCGGCCCTGTGGGCGCGCCTCTGGAGGGAGCGCTCCGGCCTGTGTTTCACCCGTGCCCTCTGTCCGTCCTCAGCGGCTGGAGGCCGGCGAGCGGGCGTCGCTGGAGGCGGCCCTGGTGGAGGAGCGGAGCCGCTACTGCCGCTTCGTCACCTGGCTGAAGCCGGTCGTGGTGAGTGACGCCTCTGGGCGAGGCCCGCCGTCGGGACTGCCGGCACGAGCCAGGGGCGTGACACGCTCCGAGGGGAGGGGCACACTGGTGTCCTCGGGATACAGGGGTTCGGAAGGATCGCGTTGGATGTTGTCGAAGTGTTATGCGTCGGGGTGTGCCGTTCGCGGTCCCGTCTCGGACGGGCTTCAAGTGATGAATACAATGGGCAGGGAACCGAACAGATCGTGATCATGAATGTTGCAATTATTCTGTGTGCGTCGTATTCTGAGAAATGGAGGCTCCGTGGGTCACGTAACATGTGCGCCTTCAGTCCCCAGTCCTGCACTCGATTATGCTGAGTTAGATTCCATGTCAGCTCGGATATCAGTGTGGAAAAGTTTTCTCGAGAGTACAGCATGAGCGCGCCGAAAGAACGCGGCAAAAAAGTTCCTCCTGATTGTTGAACGAATCGCGACTCGGCTGCAAGCGGTCCCGATTTTAACCTCCCATTTATTTCAACGGGATCCGTGACTTCGCTTTGTTTCAAACTTTGTTTGCAAACGAATATCGGAATGTTTGCCGAACTAGGCGCGGCTCGTCCAGATCAGATCCAATTTACCGGTGTCGAGAAAAAAGTGGTTGTTGAAAAGGGCAGAACGACGTACAAGACGGCGTTGATCCAAGTCCTGGATATCGATCGAGCACGTTAAGTGGACGCGCTGCGGGCCTGACAGCCCCTCCAGCGGCGTCAATTACCCGTCTGGCCGTAATTCACCCGGGAATAAAACACCGGGGCGCCGCCGGAGTGAGCCAGAGAGTCGGCCGTGTGGCGGCGGACAGACGGTCCTCTGATGAGGCCGCCGGCGCCAGCTTTAATCCCGGGCCGCGGTGCCGAGAATGTGTTATTATGGCGGGGACAGCAGCGCGCTGTGCCGCCGAGCTGAGCTCATCCCAGCGAGGGCGGCGCGTGTTTGTCGCCGCACGTCGGGGACGGCGACGGCGGCCGGCCGCTGCGCAGGGCCTCGCGTCGCTGAGGAGCGGCGGCGACGCTTCGCTGACGCGCTGAGTCGGCTGGACCCCGTCCCCTCCCATTCCTCATGTGCTGTCTAGCGGTGTGCTGTGGTGACGCGGACGAGCCGGTGTCGTCATGGGCACCGACTTCGGAGGTGTTGTAGCAATTCATTCGAAAACGGGGAAAACCGCACAGTAATTCATTCAAAGCAAAGCGGAAGAAAACCGCAAGTGAGCAGGGTGTGCTTGAGTCAGGTCATGTCTGAGGCTGCGCGGACACCGTACTGGCCTCGAACCTGGAGGGGTACGCGTAAGGAGGGGTACACCTGGAGGGGAACCTGGAGGGGTACACGGCCATAACGCCCGCCTGCGCCCGTCAGGCCCAGAATGAAGAGATTGGGGACATGTGCCACTCCACGTTCTGTCGTTCCGTCAGCCTTATCTCCCTACCTCCCCGCGCACAGCCGTGCACGTCGGTGGGATTAGAGGTGCCGATGCCAGTGGTGAGCGGTGTCAGTGAGGAGGCACAGCTGGAAAGGCACCGGCTGTGCTCTCCAGTGCCTTCCCAGCTGTGCCTCCTCAACGGGCGACTTCCCGGCGTCGCCGTCGAGTTACACCGATTGCGCCGGTTTACGTTCATTCCCTTGTTGTTGGGTGGGCTGTCGCCGCTGTCGCTGCGGCTGACGTCGGAGCGGAGTCACGGGCGACTCGTGCTGCCCACTCCTGGCCGGCGCGACGGCGCGCGGCTGTGAGGCCGGGCTCCACGCCGCCGGGGCTGTCCCTGACCGCCGTCTCCGCATCCCAGCAGGGTGAGGTGGACGCCGCTGAGGAGATGTCCCGGCTGACCGAGGTCATGGAGCAGCTGGTGGCGCACACGGTCGAGCCGTTCGCCCTGCCGGCCGCCTCCGAACAGGTGGGCGCGGGCGCGCGGCGCTGCTGCGCTCCCAGCCGGGGGCGCCGCGGCCCGTCGGCGGCCGGAACTGGCGCCACGGCGGCGCGCCGCGCAGCGAGGGCGGCGGGGTGTGCGCAAGGGCCGATGTCGGCGGCTGGGCCAGCTGACCAGACGTGATGCCGGGTGCAGGGGTGCCTGTTGCTGTCGCGAACCTGTTGTCTTTACGCCCGTCTCGGCCTGGGCGTCTTGCACGAGGCCCTTGGACAGTTATTGATGCGATGTCGGCGGTGTGTTGCGGTCCTCGCTCGCTTATGGATGCATCGCTTTGTCCAGGCTGCCATGGGGCCCGGCAATTTGTCACACGTATTGACTTCTCCGCGTCCCCATGTTCTGCCCCGTGCCTCAACACCCAGCACTGATCAGCCGCTCGTCCAGAGTGGGCGTCGAGAAGCGAGGCCGCCGCCGGCCGCGATGAGCGGGCCGGTGCTGACCGACTGTCGGTCGTGTCCGCAGCTGATCGCCGACATAAAAGGCGCCGGCGACGCGTGGCAGCCCGGCTCGCCGCCCGACTCGCCGCGCGCCGCCTCCTCCTCGCTGGGCTCGCGCAAGTCCAGTCTGTGCTCCATCAACAGCCTGCACTCGTCCAGCTCCGGCGGCACGGCGCCGCCGGCCGGCGGCCGGCCCCGCTCGTTCAGCCACACGGCGGCGGCGCTGGCCGGCGCCGCGCCGCGCAACGCGTCGCCAGCGTGTCGTCGCACGACTCGGGCTTCACGTCGCAGGACACGCTGTTCGTGCGGCCGGCCACGCCGCCGCCGCCGGCCGGCGGCTGGTGCGGCGCCTCCGTCTGCAGCCTGCCGACCGACGCGGCCGAGGCGGCCGAGCCGCCGCCGCCGCCGCCGCCTGGAGCCCGCCGCCGGCCAGCGAGGCGCCGCTGCCGCCGCCACCGCCGCCGAGGCCCCGGCCCCGCCGCGGCCGCACACAATCTCCAGCGGTGAGCGCCGCCACCGGGCAGTAGTGTAGGGAGAGATTGGTGAAAAGGGGTTGATCTGCCGTGGTGGCGTTGCGTCGCTTGCCCACCGTCAGGAATGGTTGGGGCTTGGCACGATCTCTGCACATCCTTGGGTTCAGACCTGCGTCGTTTTCGGTTTCACGTCCCCAGCGGGCGTAACCGCTCGGTGACGTGCCGTCCGCTCCGGTCCACCCCGTTGCCCCTGCCGCCCCTGACTTGCCCCTGACCCGACCCTGACCTGCCCTGACGCGTCCCCGTGACCTCCAGCGTACGTGCGGGGCGGTGTGCTGCAGCGGACGTCGCTGGGCCCGCTCACGTTCGTGGCGCCCCAGCGCGGCGTCTCGCCGTCTCCGCCGCCACCGCCGCCGCCGCCGGCCGGCCGGCCACCCGTGCCCGTAAAGGGCCGCTCCAGGCAGAAACGCAAGGTGCTCAGCCACTACGCCTGCCCGACGGACGCCGCGCTGCCCGACTTCAACCAGCGGCGCCGCACATGGGTGAGTCCTCGTCGCTGCCGCTACTGTTTTGTCTGACATTGATGCCGACGTCTTTTGGCTCGCGTGTGGCATGTTATGCTGCAGCTGCTCTGCTGTTTGTGCTGTTGGGTTGTGCTGCTGCTGCTGCTGTTGGCGCTGTTCGGTTTAATGTGAGCAGACACTTGTTTGTGTAGGTTATTGTGTTGGTTAAACCGATCTCTACAGATTTGCTATTTTTGCGCATGTCTGAAGGGCACAGTTTTCGATCCGCGCCGACCGCCCGCTCACCAAGGGATGGCGTCTGGCTCGTTCGTTGGAGCGAATCGAGCCGGAGATCGCCCTCCCAGAGGCCTTGTGATGAGCGGAGACGGCCGTGCTCTGAATGTGATGGTCCGAAGACGGACAAAGGCCTCCTTGTGGTGGGCCGTCCCTTTGATGACGCCTATTGACTCTGCCGGTCGCGGTCTTCCCCTCGCTCGGCTCGGCGGCCCCCTGGGGCCGGGCGGTCGAGGGGCGTGAGTGTGTCCCGATGGCCGATGAATGGGGTGCAGCCCTCGCCCCTGTTCCGGGGGGCCGCGCCCCCGCTGTGGATGCGGACGGGACGTTTGGGGAGTGCCGGCGAGTGGCGACAAATGGGAGCCGCACGCGCCCCCGGCCGCCCTGTCTCGCCGTCCGGTGCTGCTCTCCCCGCCGTCCAGCACGCAAACGCCGAGGGTATTATTGCGTCGCGAAGTGCCCGCCTCACGCTGGGTCGCTGAGCACTGCTCTAAAACGTCGGTATCAGCTGGTGCCGCGGCCGGCGTGCCGCTGAGGTGCGTCGTCGGCCTCCTGTCTCCGAGCGGCCGGCGTACCGCTGAGGTGCGTCGTCGGCCTCCTGTCTCCGAACGGCCGGCGCGCAGGCGTGGTGTGTGTGCGCGTGTGGAGCCTCGCCGTGCCTCCCGCTGACGCTGTCCTCCGGCCGGTCGCAGTCGTGCCGCAGCCCGTGTACGCCAACATGGCCGAGCTGCGTCAGATGGCAGCACTGAAGGAGGAGGCCGCCGGCCCGCAGCCCGACGACGCGCCCAGCAACGCCCTGCCCACGGTAATGCCGCCAGCTGCCCCCCCCCCCCCCCCTGCCGACGGCAGTGCCCGCGCCCTGTCACAGTATGGCCACCAGCTGGCTTTGCCCACGACGAGCTAGCTGCTTACTTAACAGCGGATCACCGAAAGTCGTCAGTGGCTATAGCTCCGCGGTAGTATTGCACGTGTGAAAAATGTTTCGCGCATTGGGTTCGTCTTGAAAATGATCCAAGCGCCATTTGTACTTGGTCCAGGTTATCTTGTGTAATGCCGCGGCTTAAAGCGGGGTGGCGTTTGCCGGGCATGTATCTGGCGGGTCACCGACTCCTGCGAAAGAAAGGCGTCGTTCCCAGCGGCTGACCAGCCAGGAGAAAAGCCCTTGTAATGACCAGCCATTCTGCGGGCCGGGAACAGTGACGTCACGCTGGCTCGACCGGACGCGTTGGTCGCCGCCGTGAGCGCGTTAGCTGCTTACGTGTGTGACGTGGTGTGGCGCCCTGGCATGCTGCTCCCTGTCGGCGCCCCGGTGTGCCTGACGGCCGCCTCACGCCGCAGCTGGACCGCTGGGAGAGCGACGGATCCGGCTCCAGCGGCTACGGCAGCGTGCACGGTCCGGCGCACGCCCAGTCGGCAGACGGTACGTAGCCGCGCGCCGCCGCCGCCCGCCCGCGCGGCGGCCAGCTGCCTGTCTCTTGTCCGGGTGTGAAGTCGGGGTGGGTCGGTGCCGGTGCAGGTGTCGGCGGCTGACTGACTGTGTAGGGCTGTCGCCTAGACAGAAGCTCTGGTTGCGCTTCCTGCCCCCGAGATTGGCAGTTGGTTGTGCATTGTGGCCTGTACGGTGAAGGTCGTGCGATTGGGACTACAGTGTCGCTTTGGAGCAAAATTACATGTTTTCGAGTGCTTGTAGTGCGCTGCTGCAGTGTCCGCGCCATGAGTAGGACGCTATTTAATCACATATTTAAATGGTAGCTGTCATGAATTCCTCTATCTGTCGTGCGTTACAGATGTAATTGCGAGACCTTTTAAAGCCCTGAACGCATGCGGTATGTCTTGCAACGAATCATCCCAACAACTCTAGGAAGACGGCGGGGGCAATATCCGGTCTCAAAATTGATGTCCATTGCCGCTACGAAGTTGGGCATTCTCTCCTAACATGCCTGTTTAGTTTGCGATTTAGCGCGGTGGTTAGCGCGTCAGTTTTGCATGATTTCTGCCTTTGATAGAGCGCCGTGGTGTGGGCGGTGCGGGGCATTGGAGGCTGCTGGGTTGGTGCCAAATGCCAGACCAGTTATTTGGACTGAAAGCAAACGCTTGTGTTATCCGAGGCTCTTTTGCGTTGTTGCGTTCTTCTTGGGTGGTAGTCAGGCGCTTTTCCATTTTCAAACAAAGGCAAATAATGTTCCGTGAGGAGCTGACCAGCATCGAAAGTGCGGGGCTGCTGGCATGTCCGCCCTGGTGCCGCGTGTGGGATACACTGTTTGCGAGACGGGTCGGTAGATGTCAGCAGCTTGTGGGTACATCCGCCGCCTGGCCGTCTCTGTGGTCCGAGTGGCGGCTGTGGCTGACGCGTCCTTTTTTGGTTCAGCTTTGCCGCCGCCGCCCGATTTTGTGTTATACAACTTTTGTGAAGAGCCCGCCGCCAGCCAGGAGAGCAGGCGGCCCATGTCGATAGCAGTGCCTGCAGGTGAGTGCGGAGCGAGCCACGCCGACGGCTCTCGGGCGCGCTTCGGTCGCTTTGTTTCCGAAGCATGGACTTGGGTGTCCACGCGCGTTTGGGATGCTGTCTCCCTTGTTCATCGCTGTTTTTCTCGTACGTCCGCTGCTGAATTGCTCTGTAGGCGTGCTGAAGGGTGCCTCTGAAAGAAAGACGCGTGGCGTGTGCTGCTGATGACGGCCACGCGGCCTCCCCGGCCGGGCCGCCGACCCGACTGACGCCCGCCTGTGTGCCGCAGACGCATCGGCGCCGCGCCACGGCGGCTTACGGCGCAGTCAGTCCCAGCTCAGCCGGCCGCCGCCGCCGCCGCCGGTACGGCGCGAGTCAGCAGCAGTGGACGCGGCCGAGCCGCGCTCGGGCGCCGTCTCCGAGGCAGTGCGCTCGCTGACCGAGGCGCGTCACCAGCCGGCCAGCCCGGTGGCGCTGCGCCGCGCGCCGCCAGCCGCGACCCCGGCTTCTTGCAGTCGCTGTCGGCGCGCATCTGTGCTGCCGGCTCGCCGGCCGAGCGACGCTCGCTGCCGCGCCAGCCGCCGACGCCGCCGCCGGCGCACGGCGCCACCGGGGCGCCGCAGCCGGCGCGCGTGACTTCGCTGCCGGCCGGCGACGGCGTGCCACCGCCCCCGCCGCCGCCGCCGCCCGCCGAGGCGCGTCCGCCCGTGCAGCGCTCCTTCAGCGCTGCCGCCGAGCAGCGGTTCTAAACGGCCGGCGCCGCTCCGCCCTCGGTGAGCGAGGAGCGCCGCGCCGCACCGGAGCCGTGGAACGCCGTCTGGAGCCGGCCGGTCGGCGGGCGGGCGTGCCGACGGGCGACGCTGCGGACGGGGTGCGTTACAGGACGCACGAGAGCTATGTGACCTGTGAGTGTCGGTGGGTGGGACGCTGGCGCGCGGAAAGAGACGCGCGCTGGCCAGATACAGCACCGTTGTAGGCAGCACCGTCTCGTCGCCGCGCCGAGACGCCGCCACGTGCGAGGCCGGCCCCGGCCATGGCGCAGACCAACAGCCGACACGGTGACCGTTGGATGTGGCGAGCGGTGACGGTGGCCGGCGAGGCGACAGACAATGACAGCGGCTCCGGGTGCGGGGATCGTTAGGCGGAGTGGTGGTTCGCTTCTCCGGCGCCGGTCGTTATTGCCTCAAATGTAAATGACGTTCAAAGAATTTGCCTATTGCTGTACACTAGCGGGAAAGAGCCTGTAAATAGCAGATCACGTAACGCCAAAGAGCCGCCTCCTTTTGTTAGGTTCATAACCACAAGCAGATGTGTGCAATATTTTGGGTATTGATGGTAGCGCTGATGTTCACAAAGAATTCTGATGCGTATGGTGGATGTAATCGTACGCTCGTCACGTATTCCAAGCGTTCTCTTTTATACGTTGTATGGATGTATGACAGTGTTAGTT